CACTTCGAAAACAGTTCAGCGAGAACGAGTCATCAATAGGTAAGCTATGTGAAAGATTAGAGGATACTCAAAAACTCTCACTTCAATCACTGGCCTGATTATTAGCAGAGTCGACGTAAATATGTAAATTAAAGAAAATTTTTAACCGTTGAAATATTGGTCTTTATTATACATGCCAGAGCAAATTCCTGCACCCTTATTTTGATGAAGTTACAAGTAGGAGGGGGCTTATCTCCATTTACGTGGCATCAACCATGAGTGCCTTAATAATTTTAAAGGCAAAATCGATATGAGCCACGTGACAAGTAGTGCTTAGTTCCCTGTTTTCTTCCCACAGCGTGTTACTCATCTATTCTTGGAAGGAAGAAAGGTGACTGATCACTACAGGGGCTCGAATCCATCAGCTCCGGAGTTCGAAGTTGACACCTTACGCACTGTATCTACGCGCCCCAACACACTGCAAATAAACGAGCACCGACCTCTTCGATTCATAAGACTATCGGTCTTGGCAATATTGAATAAAACTTTACTTATAATTCTGCTCATATTGTACAAAATAATTTTCACAACTACTCATTTCAATAACGGAATCACAGCGTAGAATGTAAGCGTCATGTGTATCTGAACCAAGACCGCCAGGTGGTCAAGAATTCTTCTGGCAGTAGCATCTTATATAGTCCTTTACCTGAGCTTGAAAGGCAACCTAAAAAAACAACTGTAGCAATTATGGAAATGAATTAAAAATATATTTTAGCATAAAGAAGAATAACAAACACAAACACGCCGTACAAAGCAAAAGTTTCGTTTGGAAGTGTGATCTGTTAAGGGAATGATGGTTCGAGCTGCATACAGACTGACAGAAGAAAACTGAATATTCCCTTATAAATGCATGGACGATATAGATAGATATGCAAATAAAATACTTTTCTTCTTCGTCTTCACTTCTATCACGTCGCGAGAAAGTTCATATGACCGTTCTAGCTGATTCCACCGACTGGCAAAGTGGTCATGAACTGTCGTGGCATTTTGTTTCGGGCAATCAAATTTGACCTCCACTGTCAGTCTCGCATTTTTGGCAAATATCATGCAGAACGGAGTTCGACTCTGATGCGGTACGCCAACAGGAGGTGCGGCAAAGTCCAGCGGCTGTTCTGTACCTTCCGCTGTTCAGCATATGCAGCAACGTACTGTTAAACCTATCCTTCTACAAGGCCACGGGTTGGGGGTATTGACAGTGTCGTACGGAATACATTAAAGATATACGCGATCAGTGATGATTTCGAAACTCTTGCCTTGGTTGGAAAGTATTTTCATCGGTATTCTATAACGAAGGAAAACTTCGTTGACTAAGAAGTCTGCCACAGCTGCTGTTTTCGTGTTCTTCGATTCAAAAGCTATAATTAATTTTTGATGTAGTCGGCCATCAACAACGCTTCATTTCTTGAAACGGCCCCAAAAAAACCAAACGCTATTCTTTGCAATGAGTTTCCCATTTCGCTGGGTAGCAATTTGGCCCGGGTAATTCTAGCATGAACCTTGTGCCTATCGAAGAGTTCACAAGTTTCACAGTAATCTTCTACGATCAGTCCAACGTTTCCTTTGTTGGAGTCTGTTCACAGTCGTAGCGGTTCCAAAGTGACCTTCGCACACCCGTTGTTAGATTTTTGACAAAACTATATGTTTTGGTACTAAACGCAATAATCTCGGGTGATGACCGCCCAGGTCATGAATAATGGACAGATACTTGCATCTGCAAAATACTGTGCATTCTGAGATCTCCTGCATTTTCAACTTTTTAACGCTATAAATCAGAACAGAACTTGACAATAAGCATTTCTGGTGGCATGTTAGGTTCATCTGACAAAATCACAGTAGGCAATAATAGTGTCTAACATTAATGAACATTAATAGAGCAAATAAAGTAATCAAGGAGTCTGCTCGTTCGAACACAGTAAATATCTTAATGCATAATATCATAGGTCTATTAATTTTACAAGAGTACAGTAGCAGGTTAAAAAGATGACGGATCCAATTTTTCCAATAAAATAGATTTTAGTTCACTAAATTAAATTGTTTAATCAGTAATTAATAGCAAACACGGCTGAAAGTCTGGACAAGATCTTTTCGTAAATCATTGCGGAGATTTTCGAACCCGAAAAGATGTTTAATCTGTAATAATACAGTAATAATAGTATGTCAGTTATCACTGACATAACAACCTATCGACAAACGGAATATTAAAAGCATTGCAACGCGTTTTAAGAAATATTTAAAAATATGTATTTTGAGATGCTAAATCGACAAATAATATTACGACAGATATAAATCGAAGTATTACCGGGTTTCTGCGATACTGATCAGCGGCATTCACGTTTAGCGGATCATCGAAATCCATTAAATCCGTAAACAAGGAGTCAATGCCTAACATGACGTCTTTCAAGTGTCTAGTAGGCGTCCATCCTGAAGACAGAAACCAGCAGAGGGTTAAAATCTAAAAAATGAAACAGCAATCATTCGCTACCCATTCCGTCCAGAGAACTTAGACGAAGTAAGCTCAAACAAATGGAACCATCCTCAGTGATGTTGGGATGCCAAATTTTGGTCAGGCATTTCACGGATGGAGGCTAAACACAAAAAGTAAAAGTTACAAAAC